ACACGGCCGCCCCCCGCCCCCCCAGGCCGCAGCCCGTTCGGACCCCCAGTCCCGCCCCGGCCCCCAGTTCCGGCCCCCTCCCGCTCCCCATCCTCCCCCCGAGCGCCCGGACACCCGGGCCCGGCCGCGACCCCCGCCCCGGCCCGAGGCCCGGCCTCACTACCTGGATCCGCTTCTTGTGCCTCCTGCGCTCCGCCATGTTCGCCGCTCCTCCGGCTCCCTCTGACGTGGAGGGAGAAGAGGGGGGCGGGGCGAGGCTGCTGATCTCGCGACAGCTCGGCTGCTCCGAGAGCCCAGTTATGTAACCGGGGGGCGGAGGTGGGGCGGGAGCGGAGAGGGGGGCGGGGGGACTGAGAAGGAGGCGTAGGGGGAAGGGAAGCGCCATCCCTGGGGACCCTGAGACAGACCCACGGTGCCGGGCGGGGCCGTCCTGGTGCCAGCCCCTCTCCCGCTCCCCATCCCTGGTTCAGAATCCCGACGTCGTGGACTTTAGAGCAGGCGGGGACCTTGGAGCCATCAGGTCCAGATGAGGAAACTGAGGCCCAGAGAAGAAAGTCACTTGTCCGAGGTGACCCAGGGGGTCTGCGGCCAAGCCCCAAGATGAAGCCGGACCCTGTGCAGTCAGCTCCGCCCTGCCTCTCAGTTTCCGTGTCTGTAAATTGGGCATAAGAGGACCCCTGGTATTTACCTCCTAGGAACGCTGCATGGCGTAGGGTGAACTGGAAACCCTCCGAACGCTCTCTGAATGTTAGGGGGGATCCCGCCCCCCGGGAGACCCCTGCAGAGACTTCCAGAGAGATTTCTGGAGTCCTCCTGCCTCCAAATCTGATGATTGGGGAAGGGCTAGGAAGGGAAGGACACGGGCTGAAAAACATCAAAAACACTACTGCCACCACCACCACCAGCACCACCACCAGCCCTAGCACCCCCAGCACCACCACCAGCACCAGCACCACTATCACAATCACCACTAGCACTAGCACCACCATCACCAGCACCATCACCAGCACCAGCACCAGCGCCATCACCAGCATCACCACCAACACCATCACCAGCACCACCACCACCACCACCAGCACCACCACCACCAGCACCACCACCACCAGCAGCACCACCACCAGCATCACCATTACCAGCATCACCACCATCACCATCACCACCACTGTGTATAGCTTTAAGGTTTGCAAAGTATTTACATATATTATCTTGTCTGAGTCTTACCTCTGTCCTGTGAATTAAACACTCAGCTTTGGATCCCTCCCAACATGAGCTCCCTTTGCTCCTACATACCTGTTTCTGAATAAAAGTGGAGAAAATCACTCAATCCTTCTGACTGGTCCATTATAAATTGGTGCTATACAATTTCAACTGGGCTCTCATCGTTGCTAGGCAACTAACTATCCCACTCTGCAAACCTTCTCAAGCCTCCTCAAACCTCTCATGATTCCCTTTCCCCCTACTCTCTCAGCTGAGAACCCGGCCTCCTATTTTATGGAAAAAAATTGAGGCACTGCTCCATGAGCTCTCTCTTCTGCCTTCTTTCTCATCACTCAGATGCCTTCTGCCGCCATCTTCTGCACACCTGTCTCAGGATGAGGTGGCCTTCTCCTTACCGAAGCTAACCTCTCTACCTGTTTAAATGATCCCATTCTATACCATCCCATCCTGCAGGTTGCCTTTTCTGGCATCCCGATCCTTTCATTTATCTTTAGTCTCTCCCTATGGGCTGGATCATTCCCTACTGCCTACAAATATGTCCATGTCTTCCCCATTTTGAAACATCTCCCAATTGATCCTTCTGTCCCTGCTATCATCCTTTATTTCTTCTGCCCTTTGTAACTAAACTCCTTAGCCATCTGCAGTAGGTGCCTTTCACTATCTCTCCTCTTTTTTTTTTTTTTTTTTTTTGCTTTTTTGGTGAGGCAATCAGGGTTAAGTGACTTGCCCAGGGTCACACAGTTAATAAGTGTCAAATGTCTGAGGTCACATTTGAACACAGGTCTTCCTGACTCCAAGGCCCGTGTTCTGACCACTGTGCCACCTAGTTGCCCCCCTCTTCTATTTTCTTGACCCTTTACAATCTGACTTCTGACTTCAAGCTACCCTTCTCCTAGAGATTCTCTTCTCTTTAGGTTTTCAGGACACCATTCTCCTCCAGTTCTTCTCTGTCTGGTCTCCTTTGTTGGTTTCTCCTCCAGATCATGCTTTCTTGCTGTAGGTGTCCCTTGGGTCTCTGTCCTGGGTCCTCTTCTCTTCTCTCTCCATACTACTTCACTTGGTGATCTTGTCAGCTCCCATGGATTTAATTACCATCTCTACGCTGATGATTCTCAACTCTATCTTTTCTACTGTAACCTCTCTGCGGACTTCCAATCTCATATCTCCAACTGCCTTTCAGACATCTCAGACTCGATATCCAGTAGACTCTTAAACTGAGCATGTACAAAATAGAACTCATTATCTTTCCCCTTCCTCCACTCCTACTTTGCTGTTATTGTAGAGGGCAAACCCATCCTCCCAGTCCCCAAGGCTCACAACATAGGAGTCATCCTGGATTTCTCACCATCTCCCATTGCCGCCCCCCCCAATATCCAAACTATTGCCAAGACCTGTCCATTTCAGCTCTGCAACATCTCTCCAGTAGGCCCCCTTCTCTCCTCTGACACTACCCCCACCCTGGTGCAGGCCCTCATCATCTCACACCAGCCTCAAGTCCCACTTCAATCTATCCTCTATTCAGAAACCAAAGTGATTTTCCTAAAGCATAGGTCTGACCATGTCACTCCCACTAATCAAGAAACTCCAGTGGTTCCCATTGCCTCTAGGATGAAATACAAAATATTTTGTTTGGCATTCAAGGGCCTTCATAACCTAGCACCTTCCTTTCCAGTGTTCTCACACTTAGTTCCCTACACTTACTCTTTGATTCAGTGACACTGGCCTCCTGGTTGTTCTATGAACAAGACACTTCATCTCAGCTCCAGGCATTTTCTCTGGTTGTTACACATGTCTGAAATGCCCTCCCCTCATCAACTCTGCCTGCTGACTTCTCTGATTTCCTTTAAGGCCCACCTAAAATCCCATTTTTTTTTTTTTTTTACTGGAAGCCTTTCCCAACTTCTCAATTCCAGTTAATTACTTTAATTACTCTGTTAATTACTTTCTGTTGCGTCTAGCTTGCTTTGTATATGTTTATTTGTATTTTGTCTCCCCCATTAGATTGTGAGCTTCTTGAGGGCAAGGACTGTCTTTTGCCTCTCTTTGTATCCCCAGAGCTCTTCATAGTGCTTGGCACATAGCATTTAATAAGTGCTTATTGATTGATTGAATACAGTTCGATTCAGTCTGAATTGATTAAGTACTGTGTACAAGGCACTGGTCTAGGTGCCACCACCACCATCACCATCACCATCACCACCACCAGCACCACCACCACCACCACCACCATTAACAGATGTTATTTCCATTTTACAAATGAGGAAAGTGAGACTTAGAGAAGAAGGGGTGATTTTTTTTTTTACTGTTACTTGATTTTTTTCATTTCATTTCATTTTTAAAAAATTAACAGGAACTTATTTTTCCTCTCCCTCCTACTCCATCCCCCAATTTAAAAGAAAAACAAATGTGCAGAATCGAACAAAACAATTTCTCACATTGGTATGTCCAAAAATGTATGTCTCATCCTTTCTTCTTTCCCATTCCTCTGATATCATGGTAGAACCTCAAAGCTGATTTGATTTTTTTTAGTTTTTAATTTTTTTTGTTCTATCCACTCTATGTTTCTTGAAAAAGAGCATCAGGAGGAGGATGAGTCCAAGCTTTCACCTGGCTTGTCAGAAATCATGGACCTGAAAGGAAATTACTTGGGCAGTGCAGAGCTCATGTGAAGTTGGAGCTAATTCAGCAATCTCACAAAATGTCTTATATTTTGATGATCAAAATATATTTTGATATTTTAACTATAAACTTCCTAGGAGTGTATAATAGTAGTTGTAAGTTACTACTTCATAATTTAGGGTTGGTTGGTTTGTTTTTTTGTCAGTGCATGCTTGTGAGTCTTAAACGTTTTAACTGTTTGCTTTTTTTGTGGAAAAATTAAATAGCTGTCTTATACTTGATCTTCACTTGGGGACATCCTAGACATTTACCAAATAAATGTAAACTTTAAGTAATTTTCCCTGGAATTAATGGGGTGAGGGTGTAAAGAGCCAGAAACAATGAGAAAAAACCTAATCCTTTTGGGAGGCCAACCTCATCTAACAGTGAACTTAGTTCACGTGCTTAGGTCCAGAATCAGGGGACCCCTTGAGACAAAGGGGTTAAGTGTCCCCTGAGCACAACAGAAGTTAACCCAGTAAGGCTCTGAAGCAAGATTCAAACCTAGGGCTTCGTGACTCTGAGTCTAGTGCTGGATCTGCTACATCAACTTGAGCTTCTCAGAGGAGGCAAGTGACCCTAACCCTAACCCATCCACTGTAAGATCCTGGAGGGAACTTTAGGTCTTCTAGGGCAGAGATGTCAAACTTGCTGCCCGCAGCCTGCAAAACTCCAGAGTGTGCAGCCAAAAAATTAAAATGTAATCAAGAATGATACAATTCCAAAGGACTTAATATGAAAAATGCTGTCCACCTCTGGCGAATGAACAAAAGGAATCGGAATGCAGATCGAAGCATACTATTTATTACTTTCTCTGTTTTCCTGTATTTTTTTGGTCTGTGTTCTTTTTTACAACATGGCTAATATGGAAATATGATTTACATGACATCGCATGTATAATCTATATCCCTTTTCAAGAAGGGAAGTGGGGAGGAAGGGAAGGAGAGTATTTGGAAATCAAAAATTATTAAAAAATGAATGTTACAAATTGTTTTCCATGTAATTGAGAAAAAATAAAATAATATTCTTTAAAAAAAACAAAAATGTAATTGAGAAATGTTCAACAAAATAAATAAAAATATAATACAACATAATGTTAATTTGTGGTTTTCTAAATCAATATGGTAGCAGGGATATCTAGGGCCTAGAGTCTTCTCTAGGCTTTAGAGGTTGACCGACTAAGCCTTACCTGTTGAAAGCGTTTTGGAGGATGCCAAAGTTAGAGGGAAGGAAGATGGCAGAGTTGGTTAGCGGGTACCAAGGAAAGCAGTTCCAAGACTACATTACAGTGGAAAAGTTCTTTACAGACCCAGCTATTAGTCTACTGCATCTGAATTTAGGGAGTCTGCTTGTTTTTAAATCTAATATTCATAACTGAGAGAGTAAGAGTCAAGAAATCAGGAAGACGGGCTCAAATCCAGCCACAGACACTGACTAGCTATGTGACCCAACGGGTCTAGGCTTCAGTTTATGTATCTCTCAAATAAGGAGATTAAACTAACTGGCCTCTAAAGACCTTTATATATATAAATATATATAAAGACCTTTATATATATATAAATATATATAAAGACCTTTATATATATATAAATATATATAAAGACCTTTATATATATATAAATACCTTTATATATATATAAATATATATAAAGACCTTTATATATATATAAATATATATAAAGACCTTTATATATATAAATGTATATAAAGACCTTTATTGTAGCTCTAAAGCTATAATCACGAGAACACATCTCTCTCTTTTCAACTGCTACAGTGCCAGATGGCTCACCAGCTCACTGACTGTTAGACTGACCAAAGCCTCCACAGAAAATTTCCAGCTCTGGAGTCCAAGACATTTTCAAAGTTTCCTTTATTGTTTTTCCTTTTCTCCATTTGTTCATATTTTAGCTTGTGTTCCATTTTAACTCTCTGAGTTTCTCATCTGTAAAATGGGCATATTTGTATTACTTCACAGGGTGGTTGTAAGGAAAGTGCTTTGGAAGTCTTAAAACTCATGTGAATGAATAAATGAATAAATGAATGAATGAATAGCATTAAATGCTTCAAATATGCTAAACACTCTGCAAAGTCTTGGGGGTACAAATGCAGAAGAAAGGCAATGTCTGCTCTCAAACAACTTCAAAGAGCAGTGGTCAAGGAGAAACATTTTGTT